GCTTAGCTTGAATGGAACTCATTAATTAATTTTTTTTGAACATTTTGATATGGGATGAGTTTGAAACCCGCTCAGAGGAGGGGGAGTGCACTTATTCAAAAGTTAATGTCATTGAACCTTTAGGGTCAGGTGCAATTAATTAATTAATTAAAGAACAATAAAACTAAAAGTTTAATATTTTAAGGTGACAAGGATATATAACATTTTAAGGTGTGCTAATACATTCCACCGTTTTAGTTGGATGCCATATTTTTTACGTGTAACAAATAAAGTTACCTAATAAAAGTTATTTACAATATTAAAATTAGGGTTAGAACAATCTTATATAAAAAATTTACGCATGAATCTTACACAAAATCATAATTATTCTTTCCATTCTAAAATGATAGATGTTTTTTTTGGTATTAACCTCCTTGTATTCGATAATCGCATTGAGTTTTGATTAATTCAGAATCGAGCTGCGTTGGATCCTATTAGAGAAGAAACTCTTCCGACGCCTGTTTCTCTATTCACAAGACTCGAACTCAATATTTTACTTAAGGAGAATCGAACTCCTTCTACTCATACCAACATGTCGTTGATTAAAATAATAGATGTTTGTCCTTTTTTATTTTATCCTTAAATTAAACTTTTGGGAACAATTCCTATTTTTACTTGTACGTTTTACTCTTATAAAAGAAATAAAATAAAGAGACTTATTTATATATGATAGATAATTAAAGGTTAAAAGATAATGATAAGATTAAAGAAGGAAAAAAAATATTTATCTTTCTTTAAAAATAAAAAACAACTATTATTCTAAGACAAAATTTTAATCAAAAGTTTTTTATTTTGAGAAAAAAGGGATTTTTTCTCCCTATGTAAATGACTGAAATTTATTATAATATTTTTAATAAAAATAAAATTAGTTTTTAAAAAATAAGATATAAAAATCTCAACCATTCATAATAATAAGATGCATAATTAAAATTTTATACAAATATTTTAATTACTAAAAAAAAGTAATCCTTATTAAAGGTTTAAAATTTTCATTTATTTTATGCAAGATTTATAATAAATAATAAAGAAAGAAATAGTTAATGCTGTTGTCCCATGCCCCAATAGCACAAGGTTAAAAAGCTCTTCATTTCTAAGAAAGTAGTGCTATTCCCACGAGAATACGAGATGGGATGTTCTCCCAAAGAAAAGAAGACGAGTTGTTCCCCGAATGGATACCTTATTTTGCCATCGGGAATTAGTGGTGTAGTTTCTTCTTAATCCCTAAGTCATGACGTTTGATTGATGTTGCCCTTTTCTTTTTTTAATATATAGATTTCTTTCGGAAAGGGTGTTGGTTAAAACCAACATTTAATTTTTTACCTTATAAAATTGATAAGTTTTAGTCCATAATCTTATAATATAACATTTTTAATCTTTTACCTTACAAAGTTAGTAGATTTTAGCTTATTACCTTATATTATGACACTTTTAACCCCTTATCTATACGAATTGAAAAAAATAACATTTATTTAACATCAAGTTTTAATGTTCTATTAGTTCTGTTAGTTGACTGTTAGTTCTGTTAACTAACTGTCAATTTTATTAGCTAATTATTAGTTCTGTTAGTTGACTGTTAATTGACTGTTAGCACCTGTTAGCATTCCGTTAATAAAATTAATAAATAAAATTAAATTTAAATTTCATATTTTTTATAACGAAATGCTAACAGATGTTAATAGTCAACTAACAGAACTAACAGAACGTTATAACCTGATATTATGTGAGAGTTATTTTTTTTAATTCGTATTGGTAATGGGCTAAAAATATCATAATATAAGATAAATTGTTAAAACCTACCAATTTTGTAAGATAAGGGGTTAAACTTACCAACTTTGTAAGATGAAGGGTTTAAACCTTTATGTTATAAGGTAAGGGGTTAAAACATATCAATTTTTTAAAGTAAAGGGCTAAAGGTTGGTTTTTGCCCAAAGGGTGTTTTGGTGCCTAATTAAATGGTTAAAATATTAATTTATTTTTAA